GGCTATAAGGGTAAATTACTTACTCATGAATTTACCTTATTTAGATTTACAAACAATATGATATTACAATATTGCCACATATTTACTTCAAATAACTATTTTTCTAAAAAAAATGTTATTTCAGACAACTGTTTCAAGCAAACAGAGAAATATCCCCCAGGAAGTGTCTGTTGAAGAGAATCAAGGTACACAGACTGATGAATCATGTAAGTATAACATGGAAAAGCTCAGTTGGGGGCAGTCAATTATGGCACTTAAGGCAAAATCTTAATTGCATATTCAGTTGAAGCTGATAGTATTAGCAAATCAAAACCATTAGGCCATTATAATCAATTTAAAACATTTTGAAGTTATATAGCTAATTTCAAAATCTTTCATAACAAGATGGAGACATTGTTTTTCCTGAAATAGGATAGTGAACAACGAATATCCAAAAGCACTTGATAGTTAACACCATCAATTATTGTACAATTTACATGTCAAGAAATGGTATGTTCTTTAAAGAATGCTTTTCTAGCATACATGTCATGTATTCAATGTCTGGGAAAATACGCTCAATGTATGCTCTCTTTTTTGGTGTAAACCACATATTCATAGAACTCAGCCCCGGTTCACATTAACTGTGCCTGAATTTGGGCATAGTGAGCATGTCTTTTGGATAATTTGAGAATGGCAATTTCCTCCTGCAAAAATAAATTTGTTATCTTTTCTCATGCTTCTTCAAGTGTAAAGTGTCAAGCTGAGTTCGGGCATTTAATTTCAATAATTCTGTTCTCCTTTTCACGACAATATATCTTGCCATCAGAAGTGGCTCCAAGGAAACTGAAATTATTGTTGATTACTAGTCCACTCTCATGTAGATGGTTTGAGATTTTGTGTTCTAAATATCTTTTCTTGGCCTGTACTTCAATGTTCTTCCCATAGGAAAGAGATACTGAATGCATAGAAGTCTTGGGAAATAGACTGTTGAGGAAAGATAGTGTAGGTTTCTTCTTTCTGTTCATAACCTTTCCGAAGTTGGAAGCTGTAAGACGATTAGATCTTAGATCTTTTCCAGGATCTGTAAGTTGATACTGGGCATTAAGATCTTCATACCCAGGAGCGAGTTGTACAGGTGACACTTTCGGAAACTTGATGGGGGCGCACGTAGTTGATGCTGCACGTGATTTCATCTGAAAATAAGAAATTAAATCATTGGAAATAATAACTTTAAGCCCGGACATATTATTTTATATATTTCATTCCAAATTACAAATTAGCCTGTTGTTTTTCAGTCATCACTCCACTTGAGCAACACCAGACAGTCCAAATTCAGGATCTGAGATCCTAGGTAGAAGATCAAGGGCAACAGATCAAAGATATGAAGAACATTTTAAATGTCAAAGATTTAATGTGACCAGTGTCTTGGTGAGATCAGGGAAACTAAAGGGCCTGTTTAAATACTACACAGGCATTATTTATGTCAGGTTTCTTGCCATATTCAGTTATTGGCCTTCCTTCTGCCATGTGATCAGGCATCATGTTTGAATTATGAAAAAGGTCATCGTGACATTAGAAATTTATCTACTAAAGATTGCTTGTTCCTGACTATGTCGACTGTGCCACAGTTTTGGATTAAAAGACCTCGCTATGCGTTTTGGACTGTCATTGCAATCAGGTGGTGTAATATTCAATACCTGGATTGAACACGTGAACTTGAAAATGGGCCAGTAAAGCATATGGCCACATAAAAGTATAATCCTTCAAATGATGCCTGCAAAATTTAGAAAGGAATATCCTTCATCCATGATGATTATTGATGGGACAGAACTGAAGACTCAAGTACCCTGTGCTTTAGGGTTACAGTCTCAGCTATACAGTGACTATAAGTCAAGTACTACCTTAAAGTGTCGTGTATGTTGTGCCCCTTGTGCTTCATTGACATTTGTTTCTGAATTGTTTACAGGTTCAATTTCAGATAAAGCTTTAACTGATCAATCAGGATTTTATGATGCTGTACGAGGCAGGTACAAGAATAGATCGATGTTGTTGCATCCTGTGATATGAATTCGATACTAGTCTCTATGAAATAAACATAATTTCATTTACATGAAATGTTAGTCTTGTTACTTAAAAAATGTTGTACTGATTGTTATGTTTTGACTGTTTTGAAGAACAGGATCCATTTCCCAATAGATTAAAACATTACCTGATATGACAAGACTGATCCCAAGCTAGACGTCTCCGAGCAGAGTGTTTAGTCACCGGGGTGCATCTGTCTGTAGCACATACTGCAGTGGGGTAATATGTGGAAGTCTGCAACAATATTCATCTACATTATATTCATTTGACACACAGTTTCTGAAAATTAAAAATAGATATCCTTAGTTCAATGCGTATATACTCTTTATAGACCATTAGGACCAACTTTAAACCTGCACCTGTTTTAGTGATTATGTGCAAAACAGTTTTCACCAATTACAATACAAAAGTGACAAAAGTATCCATACCTTGTGTCATTGAACTTGACAAATGATTGGCTTCCTATTTCTAGACTGGGCAAGAGGTTGAGCCACAACCACTTGGTTGATAGGCACTGGGATGATCTTGTTGCCCCTGTGAATCTGCCACTGTTGCTGGAGGCTGGTGCAACTCTGTTTTTCATGAATGTGCGTGAAATTGTGAGGCTACAATCCCTGAAGTGTCTTCACAAGGCCAATGATGTGGGAACATCTTTCACCAAATCTAAACAAAAATGAATTCATGTGAAGGAAATATAAAGATTTTTTTCATAAAAATGAAATACCATTGCATCAAGAAAAACATCTAACCCAAAATCATGATACTTATTTTTAAGTGTATCAAAATGAACATATAATGATATAGGTGAAATCACAAATAATCTAAATTCGATTTTCAGTAGATTCTAACTTGTAATTTATTAAAGTCTTTACTTATAATTAATAGTACATTCTGTGCTTGGGCTGGTGTTTCATTAATAAGTTTATATTTGAAACAGTATATTACGAGCCCTGTGTAACATTTGGAGGCTGATCGAAAACTAAACAATTGAATTTTACGGTTCATTTTTAGCCAAATTACTGAATGGATAAATATTCTGTTTCCTTTTTGACGATAGTGTATGTAAACCCGATGTACAATAAATACAGAAGTGTAAACATTCGTCATGTTTTGCTGCCAAACTTCGATAGGACTAGAAATCAATCAACACACCAGTAATAACCCGACAAGAACAAATGATCGGTCACTGTGCCATTGAAATTACAATCTCTTAATCTATCAGGCACTGATTTTAAGTCATTTATATGAGGATTTACTGACTTCTTATCAATGACGTACTTACCCAGCTTTACAAGAACAATAGCTGTGAACGATCTTCTCGGCGCTTGTGTCAATCCTCAAATGGAGGGTATGCGGGCTCCGATTCTTCGACATTGACCGCCAGCACATAGCATCAATGTCAGAGGTGTTGTCACGGTTATAAACTCGTATCTCATGGATATAACCCTGTGAAGAAATAGTGTAAGACTGTCTGTTGCGATTTCTGCGTCAGAGTAGGATGATCTGGCAAGAATGCAACAGATATTGTGTCGGGAACTGTCAACAGGCAAACGGTGCCTGACCGTGTATCCGCCATTTTGACAGCTCGGCATCCCAAAGCTTGGGGGACGTAGCAACAGTAACCAAGGTGGGCGGAGCTTGGGTCGGTAGTCGGAACTATGCATCAGTTCTGTTGGGCTTACGGTTCATTCGACATTGGCTTTGGACTGGCAGATATTCTGGGGCAAACAAGTCAAAGCAACCCGAATTCCCACTTTAAATAGCGGTAATATGGGCTTTCTTGAAGGTGCTAACCCTAACAATTGCACTATTAAGGCTGATGTTGGACCAAAACCGAACACTGAAAACTGACGTTGTGTCTGACATAGTTTGACATGTTGCAGGCCATGGTCTTGGCAAAGGCCAAGATCGAATATCGTCACGTTGTGACGTCACTTGAATTGTTTGATGACGTAATTGCATTCGGTCTGTCAACCCGTCAGAAGTTGGTTTGGAGTAAACTTACAGTAAATTCCTTCATCGTTTCCTTTTTTTTCAAAACAAATTCCATGTATTTTAGCAATAATAACGGTAATGCTATTTTTGAGGGCATTATCATTTGCAGAAGCCCTCGTTCTTTTCAACTGCCCTTCTTCGTCGGGCAGTTAGTGGAAGACCTCGGGCTTCTGCAAACGATAATGCCTAAAAAATAGCATTACCCTTATAGTAGGTTGCATTGTGTTCTGAGATATATTCTGTCCTAAACAACATGGCATAGTAAGCAAACAGTGACATGTTTTGAAGTATAGCATGGTTTTTGTTATTCAACAATGCTGAAAATTTATAAAGGTTTGGATGCGCACAATAATATTTCTTAATATACACCTTTCTCAGGGAATTATAAGCAGGACAAATTAAAAGAAAATGATATTAATCTTCTATTTGGTTAAGATCACATAGTTTGCCAGTTCTATTTTCTTTTTTGACATTATAAAATCTTCCACTTTCGAAAAATAAATCATGTGAAGAACGTCTCCATTTTAATATGAATCGATGACACGTTTGATGGATAAGAACATCTTTTTTTTTATTCTTTACACGACGTTTCAGAGCAAATTCTTGCTCCTTCACCAACATTCACCTAATGAAGGAGCAAGAAATATGAACACAAAAGCCCGGAGCTCTTGGAATGTTGCTCGACATGAAAGAGAAGTTGACCATTCAACGTCGCATAGCTAAAAACTTCTTGAAAGCTTAACTGAGGCATTGAATGTTGTAACCTTGATCAAACAACAATCCTGATAAAAGGAGCATGCTCGACTGTACCTCAAAAGTTGAGCTGTTGGAATATTAAATATGCAATCAAAATAGTATTTCATTTCAGTCTCAAAGTAGATACACAAGCTAAGTCAAACTGATGATTTAGTGTATGTCCTCCAGTTGCCTCCTGATCTTGCATGAATAAACAAAGTATCTCTTTACACGCAGTCTGATTGGTTTGTTGTATTTTTTCACATGCATTATCTGCTTGTCGTGAACGGTGATCAGGATCGGGTGTTACGCACATTTCTGATCATATTGCTGGTATATTGCTAAAAGCAGCGTAAAACAAAACTTACTCACTCACTCACTATTTCCTATACATTGCCATGTTGTGTTTATCTAACTTTTAAGCTGTGACGAAAACCTCATAATCGACTTATCTTCCTCTGAATATGCTTCTCCATCTTGATATCGGTAGTGGTGTAACATGCCGTCAGACACATCGAGCACTTTATGGACAAATCCTGGTCTGTGACGTGGACCGTGAGCTTCTAATATGTCGATTGAGTCAGGAATGACAAAATATTTGGATCTTGTATAATATGGAAAAGTTTTGCTATGAAAGAAATGAGAAAGCATGTTGATATAGCCATGTTTCGTAGGTGACTTGTCATGGTCTTTGGGCTTTGTGAAGAATGAATTTCTGAATACAAAAGAGCCTATTTTGGTATTTGTGTGTTTCAGTCTTTCAAAGAGAGTCAGCCAGTTTGAATCCCTGTGAGGTAACATGACCTCGTCCATATCTTGGAGCACAATGTATTTGGAAGTGTAGCGGTTGCGATAGAAACAGTCATGCATGTTCACTATCTCACCAAAATAGGCGATATCCTTTGTCACAACGTCTGGCACTCGGGCTTGGATGACCTCCAACTGTCCACACTGAATGAAATAGTCCACTACAGATCTCATGCTGGCAGAGATCGAGTGATTGTACCAGAAAGCTTTATCAGCTCCAAGAATTCTGTTTATTATCATAGACTGCACAAGTTCATCACTTTTTGAATAGCCTAAGTATCCTGCGGGGTAACACACAGTGACGTTGCGGTGTTCTCTGGATGGATATTGTACGGGAATTGTCCTAGCTCCAGCTGTTGGGCTTGATGGCGGAAGGCGGAGAAATGACGGAGTCAGGTGAGGGTGCGTCAAGGGACAGTGGACTGCCAGTTCTGTGTTCCTGAATAAAATATACAAGAAGTGTGGTTCGTTTGGCTTGCTTGATGCAAAATTCAGCCCTCATCAACTGGTGAGTTTGGACGAAATAGTCAAGTGACTAAAATCTCACCGAGCAATGCAACGATATCATCTTGAAAATAATTTATTTGAAAACATTCTGATATCATATGGGTCATATTAGCTTACCAATGTATCAAAAGGTCCATTTAGCGTTTCAGTAAGCTACAAACTGAATTACACATCTTTCCAGGACTAGAACATTTTTCAACAAGATATATTTAACGGTTTCGGATTTCTACTCTTGACACAGCAAACAGAAGTGCGAACGGACGGACACGATGATCGCTGTGTCAACGAGGGGAAATAGAAAAAAAGTTCGCTTGACTTTTAGCTTGATAACGATGTAAGAATCCACATCGAACATCGCTCAGTGCAATAAACAATAAGTTGTTATCCATAAAGTTGTATGTTTCAGTTTGCAATCACCAACTTCTAGAATGCTGATGAAGCAATTACGAGTGATACCATCATTTATCTTCGAAACAAATATATTCAGCGATATTCACCTATAAAATATACTGAGAGAAACAAATAAAGGATCACAGGGAAATTCGAGCATTCCTTTATTATTTTCCAGTTTTCATCACCAGTTTTGAACAGCGCTGTGGTGCTGAAAACTGGAAAGTAATAAAGAAATGCTTGAATTTTCCTGTGATCCTTTATTTGTTTCTCTCAGTATATGTCTTGCCTTGAGGTCCATTTGTACAGCATGGCATGATATGAAGGATAACTGAGAAATATATTTGTTGATATCGTATACAAGTGCTGACATATATATATATACTAAGCAACAATGAAAACGTCAGTACGAATTCAAAATTAACTAGACACTGTAATCAAATCATTACAGAAATTGACATAATAAGCGGATCAAAAACATTTTTTGTGTGCGATATATTTACACATCAAGGAATAACTCAGCACAATTTCAAGACATTACGTCAACGTTGGCAGTCCATTCAGACTCTTGACTTCAGTATCTAGTGTGACCACCACGAGCGGCAATAACTGCAGCACAGCGTCTATGTATGGAGTGCACCAATCGATTGATGAAGGCCATTGGCACCTGGAACCACACTCTGAGAGAGGCCTGGTGCAATACATCGGCTGTGTTCGGCCTTGGTATGACATTATTCAGTCTCCTCTAAATTTCACCCCAAAGATGTTCAATTGGGTTTAAATCAGGACTTACGGCGGGCCACTGCATAATGTTGACACCGTTCTGCTGTAGGAAGTCCCGTGTAGCTCTGGCAGTATGGGCCCGGGCGTTATCATGCTGGAGAATGTTGTTCCGATGACGTGCGAAATGTGGTATGACGTGGGGTCTGAGAGCTTTGTCAATGTAGCGCACCGCTGTGATGCCGTCTCCTCTGGAACACAACAGGACCCACTCTCTGGTTCAGGCCTCTTCCACCCCATACCATGATGCTTGCACCTCCCCAAGAGACTCTTTCCATAACACATTGGTCTGAGTAACGCTCGCCACGTCGTCGCCATGTTATTGTTCTGCCATCTGCAGTTAATACGCAGTACCGACTCTCGACTGTGAACAGAACAGTTCTCCATTGCCTGTACCGCCAGTTTTGGTGTTGTAGGGCAAACTGTAGACGTTCACGCCGATGACGAGGGGTGAGGATAGGTCCACAGTAAGGTCTATGGCAATGGAGGTTCCCGCTGTATTGACTGGTCTTCCGTGTGTTTCCACTGTCTGGCCTGCTGTTTCGGGGTGTTGTCGTCTTGTGGTCACCCTTGGTCTGCCACTACGGGGCGATCATTTGTGGTGTTCGTGGCCCGGAAACGTTGCTGCAGCCTGTAGATGGTCCGAACGTTGACCTGGAAGTGATTGGCAACGGCTTGTGCAGTGTGGCCAGCTTCAAGTCTTCTTAGCGCCTGATTCCTCTGAGCTGTCGGGAGTGGCGGCATCACTGTGACGTTGTAATGTAAATGTTTCAACCAGGTTTCGGGGTGCATTTATAGGGCTGGTCCTTGTGAACAGCACGTGCAGCATGAGTTGCATTAAAAAACGTGGATAACAAAGTACCAACTAGGAGATCAGCTTGCGTTTTTGAGACCATTTCCTGGGTTCAATTCTGAGTTTGGGAAAGAATGTCTTTGCTGAGGTACAGTTGGAGATGTTGTCAAAAATATACAATCAAACCATGAAATGTGTTTACAGTTATCCGTTTCTGCGAAGGAAAATTCCAAACTGACGTTTCTTTTGCTGTTTAGTATATATATGTGTGTGCGCGCGGGCGTGCGTGCGTGCTTGCGTGCTTGCGTGTGTTGTTTTATTTTAAGAGGGGAGCAGAACAGTTACCACCCGGACAACTGCCACCTGGGAAAATTGCTACACAGGACAATTGCCATCCAGTTATTTTTACTATAATAGCGAGGACAATTTTCACCGAAAATTTTATTTGAGAAAATGAATGCAGGTTGTCAATGAATGAGTGAGTGTAGTTTTACGCCGTACTCAGCAATATCCAAGCGTCCGGCGTCCTGTAAATAATCGAGTCTGGACCAGACAATCCAGTGATCAACAGCATGCACATCGATCTGCGCAATTGGAAAACGATGATATGTGTCAACCCATGCTAGCGAGCCTCACCACCCGATCCCATTAGTCGCCTCTTACGACAAGCATGGGTTACTGAAGGTTCATTCTAACCCGGACCTTCACGGGTTGCAGGTTGTCAAGAAACACAATTTTAGATGGTGAAACATCAATGTTTTGTGGTATATAAATATTCTGACTTTGATCAACTTTTAACTTTCAAGTAATTTTGACTTGGATGAAATCTTGACTTTGAAGAAATATTGTCTTAATCAATATGCATAGATTGGAAAGAAATCAAAATTGAAAGCTTGTTAAGTTGAGAGATAAGTTACTAACATAATTGAGAGAATGTATTGAAAGCATTAAGAAAACCTAAGACTTAAGTGCTGAGAAGATGAAGTGTTTATAATAAAGCAATTTGTTTGAGGTGGGGTGCTTGGGTCTTTTTGTTCAGCGTTAAATCCAATTTAAGAGAGAAGTTTTAATATATATATAGATATAGATAGATAAATATAGATAGAGATATGTGTGTGTGTGTGTGTGTGTGTGTTTAATAGGTTTGATATGGATGTTGTTTAACGCCGATATCATCGATATTCCATTGATCTACGCAATGGGGATATGTTGCCATGTGTCAACAAAGTCAGCGAGCCTGACCACCCCGCTAGTTCCCACATACGGCAATCATATGCTGCTGAAAAGGAATTCTGCCGCGATCTTCGCAGGTTCTAATGCAGAATCGTACAGAGGATAAAGAGAAGTATATCTAGGTGCTATAAATGTCTGTTTATTATAAAGAAAACGTTTCAGAGACATTCTTGATCATACATGAATTGAAGGATGGAGGTGGTTGATGTTCAGCTGAATATGCTCCTAAACGTTGTGTTCTCTTGACATGGAATCTGACATGACCATCTCCCCACCGTATATTTAATCGGTGCGGTGCGGTGCGGTGCGGTGCGGTGCGGTGCGGTGCGGTGCGGTGCGGTGCGGTGCGGTGCGGTGCGGTGCGGTGCGGTGCGGTGCGGTGCGGTGCGGTGCGGTGCGGTGCGGTGCGGTGCGGTGCGGTGCGGTGCGGTGCGGTGCGGTGCGGTGCGGTGCGGTGCGGTGCGGTGCGGTGCGGTGCAGGTGCGGTGCGGTGCGGTGCGGTGCGGTGGAGTGAGGTGAGGTGAGGTGAGGTGAGGTGAGGTGAGGTGAGGTGAGGTGAGGTGAGGTGAGGTGAGGTGAGGTGAGGTGAGGTGAGGTGAGGGAGGAGGTGAGGTGAGGGTGAGGTGAGGTGAGGTGGTGAGGTGAGGGTGAGGTGAGGGTGAGGTGAGGGTGAGGTGAGGTGAGGTGAGGGTGAGGTGAGGTGAGGTGAGGTGAGGTGTGGGGTGAGGTGAGGTGAGGTGAGGTGAGGGTGAGGTGAGGTGAGGTGAGGTGAGGAGGTGAGGTGAGGTGAGGTGAGGTGAGGTGAGGTGAGGTGAGGTGAGGTGAGGTGAGGTGAGGTGAGGTGAGGTGAGGTGAGGTGAGGTGAGGTGAGGTGAGGTGAGATGAGGTGAGGTGAGGTGAGGTGAGGTGAGGTGAGGTGAGGTGAGGTGAGGTGAGGTGAGGTGAGGTGAGGTGAGGTGAGGTGAGGTGAGGTGAGGTGAGGGTGAGGTGAGGTGAGGTGAGGTGAGGTGAGGGTGAGGTGGTGGAGGTGAGGTGAGGTGAGGTGAGGTGAGGTGAGGTGAGGTGAGGTGAGGTGAGGTGAGGTGAGGTGAGGTGAGGTGAGGTGAGGTGAGGTGAGGTGAGGTGAGGTGAGGTGAGGTGAGGTGAGGTGAGGTGAGGTGAGGTGAGACTATCCACAGGAATGAACGGAGACCAAACCGGGTTGTCATGACTGGATGATACAGCGTAACGTTTGTTTTACTCTTACCACTCCGGGCAGTTCAGGGTCTCACACCCATCAAGTACGTTTAATCCGAATACCGCTGTTTCTTCCCTGATAGGAATTCAGAATATCACTATGTCCGTGTGGTTCTGACAATTATCACATAACAATACTAACATCGCCAATTTCGAAATCGCCAGCAGAATCTATGGAGATCCGGGACACTAACGGCATATGTATGTGTCCACACACAGTCAGGTAGACCTGCTCTGTTTGCTGTTAAACGCCGCACTGTGCAATAGTCCCTCTCTGTAGTGGCTCTGTGCAATAGTCCAGATCACCGTATGTAGCTGTACGATGTCTAAACCAAACTGTATTACATTGACAGAATCCATATCACCGTTATGTAGCTATACGACGCCTAAACCTAACTGTTTTACATTGACAGAATCCAGATCACCGTTATGTAGCTGTATGATGTCTAAACCTAACTGTTTTACATTGACAGAATCCAGATCGCCGTATGTAGCTGTACGATGTCTAAACCTAACTGTATTACATTGACAGAATTCATATCACCGTTATGTAGCTATACGACGCCTAAACCTAACTGTTTTACATTGACAGAATCCAGATCACCGTTATGTAGCTGTATGATGTCTAAACCTAACTGTTTTATATTGACAGAATCCAGATCACCGTTATGTAGCTGTATGGTGTCTAAACCTAACTGTTTTACATTGTCAGAATCCAGATCACCGCTATGTAGCTGTATCATGTCTGGACCAAACCCTCTCATACACTGACACAATCCAGTTCACCGTTATGTAGCTGTATGATGTCTAAACCTAACTGTTTTACATTGACACAATCCAGATCACCGTTATGTAGCTGTACGATGTCTAAACCTAACTGTTTTACATTGGCAGAATCCAGATCACCGCTATGTAGCTGTACGATGTCTGCATCAAACTGTTTTACATTGACACAATCCAGATCACCGTTATGTAGCTGTACGATGTCTAAACCTAACTGTTTTACATTGGCAGAATCCAGATCACCGTTATGTAGCTGTACGATGTCTGTACCAAACCTTCTCATACACTGGCACAATCCAGATCACCGTATGTAGCTGTATGATGTCTAAACCTAATTGTTTTATATTGACAGAATCCAGATCACCGTTGTGTAGCTGCATGGTTTCTAAACCAAACTGTTTTACATTGACAGAATCCAGATCACCGTTATGTAGCTGTATGGTGTCTAAACCAAGCTGTTTTACATTGACAGAATCCAGATCACCGTTATGTAGCTGTATGATGTCTGTACCAAAGCCTCTGATCCACTGACACAATCCAGATTACAGTTATGTAGCTGTACGATGTCTAAACCTAACTGTATTACATTGACAGAATCCATATCACCGTTATGTAGCTGCATGGTTTCTAAACCAAACTGTTTTACATTGACAGAATCCAGATCACCGTTATGTAGCTGTATGATGTCTAAACCTAACTGTTTTACACTGACAGAATCCAGATCGCCGTATGTAGCTGTACGATGTCTAAACCTAACTGTATTACATTGACAGAATTCATATCACCGTTATGTAGCTATACGACGCCTAAACCTAACTGTTTTACATTGACAGAATCCAGATCACCGTTATGTAGCTGTATGATGTCTAAACTTAACTGTTTTACATTGACAGAATCCATATCACCGTTATGTAGCTGTATGATGTCTGTACCAAAGCCTCTGATCCACTGACACAATCCAGATTACAGTTATGTAGCTGTACGATGTCTAAACCTAACTGTATTACATTGACAGAATCCAGATCACCGTTATGTAGCTATACGACGCCTAAACCTAACTGTTTTACATTGACAGAATCCAGATCACCGTTATGTAGCTGTATGATGTCTAAACCTAACTGTTTTATATTGACAGAATCCAGATCACCGTATGTAGCTGTACGATGTCTAAACTTAACTGTTTTACATTGACAGAATCCATATCACCGTTATGTAGCTGTATGATGTCTGTACCAAAGCCTCTGATCCACTGACACAATCCAGATTACAGTTATGTAGCTGTACGATGTCTAAACCTAACTGTATTACATTGACAGAATCCAGATCACCGTTATGTAGCTATACGACGCCTAAACCTAACTGTTTTACATTGACAGAATCCAGATCACCGTTATGTAGCTGTATGATGTCTAAACCTAACTGTTTTACACTGACAGAATCCAGATCGCCGTATGTAGCTGTACGATGTCTAAACCTAACTGTATTACATTGACAGAATTCATATCACCGTTATGTAGCTATACGACGCCTAAACCTAACTGTTTTACATTGACAGAATCCAGATCACCGTTATGTAGCTGTATGGTGTCTAAACCAAGCTGTTTTACATTGACAGAATCCATATCACCGTTATGTAGCTGTATGATGTCTGTACCAAAGCCTCTGATCCACTGACACAATCCAGATTACAGTTATGTAGCTGTACGATGTCTAAACCTAACTGTATTACATTGACAGAATCCAGATCACCGTTATGTAGCTATACGACGCCTAAACCTAACTGTTTTACATTGACAGAATCCAGATCACCGTTATGTAGCTGTATGATGTCTAAACTTAACTGTTTTACATTGACAGAATCCATATCACCGTTATGTAGCTGTATGATGTCTGTACCAAAGCCTCTGATCCACTGACACAATCCAGATTACAGTTATGTAGCTGTTCCATGTATAAACTTAACTGTTTTACATTGGCAGAATCCAGATCACCGTTATGTAGCTGTATGATGTCTGGACCTAACCCTCTCATACACTGACAGAATCCAGATTACCGTATGTAGCTGTACGATGTCTAAACCTAACTGTTTTATATTGACAGAATCCAGATCACCGTATGTAGCTGTATGGTGTCTAAACCTAACTGTTTTATATTGACAGAATCCAGATCACCGTTATGTAGCTGTATGGTGTCTAAACCTAACTGTTTTATATTGACAGAATCCAGATCACCGTATGTAGCTGTATGGTGTCTAAACCTAACTGTTTTATATTGACAGAATCCAGATCACCGTATGTAGCTGTATGGTGTCTAAACCTAACTGTTTTATATTGACAGAATCCAGATCACCGTTATGTAGCTGTATGGTGTCTAAACCTAACTGTTTTATATTGACAGAATCCAGATCACCATATGTAGCTGTATGATGTCTAAACCTAACTGTTTTACATTGTCAGAATCCAGATCACCGCTATGTAGCTGTATCATGTCTGGACCAAACCCTCTCATACACTGACACAATCCAGTTCACCGTTATGTAGCTGTATGATGTCTAAACCTAACAGTTTTACGTTGCCAGAATCCAGATCACCGTTATGTAGCTGTATGGTGTCTAAACCTAACTGTTTTACATTGACAGAATCCAGATCACCGCTATGTAGCTGTACGATGTCTAAACTTAACTGTTTTATATTGACAGAATCCAGATCACCGTTATGTAGCTGTATGATGTCTAAACCTAACTGTTTTACATTGACAGAATCCAGATCACCGTTATGTAGCTGTTCCATGTATAAACTTAACTGTTTTACATTGGCAGAATCCAGATCACCGTTATGTAGCTGTACGATGTCTGTACCAAACCTTCTCATACACTGACACAATCCAGATCCCCGTATGTAGCTGTATGATGTCTAAACCTAATTGTTTTATATTGACAGAATCCAGATCACCGTTGTGTAGCTGCATGGTTTCTAAACCAAACTGTTTTACATTGACAGAATCCAGATCACCGTTATGTAGCTGTATGATGTCTAAACTTAACTGTTTTACATTGACAGAATCCATATCACCGTTATGTAGCTGTATGATGTCTGTACCAAAGCCTCTGATCCACTGACACAATCCAGATTACAGTTATGTAGCTGTACGATGTCTAAGCCTAACTGTTTTACATTGACAGAATCCAGATTACCGTTATGTAAAAGGCCGGGTGGGACAACTTAGGAATGGCCAGCGAGTCCTAACTTGACACATAGACACTATCCTGATAAGGAGACTCCTACACTTGAATGTAAAGTAAAGACTCCGCTTGCGTCTATTGTATTGACTACACAAGAAGTAAGAGACATCCTATTATCAGTTGATATTTCCAAAGCCAGAGGACCAGACAAAATAGGTAACAGATTTATCAAAATGATCGTGCCATCCCTTTGTACTCCTCTTACTAATCTATTCAATTTATCCCTAGAATATTGTAAATTCCCAACAATATGGAAGGAAGCTATTGTCACTCCTATTCATAAAACGGTAGTTTTAATTAATATAAAAACTATAGACCAGTTGCTCTTACCAGCTGTTTATCAAAGGTATTTGAGAAATGTATTTTTAAACAATCATGTGTTTAACGTTTTTTAGATAATAACGTATTAACGAATTTGCAGTCAGGATTCATGCCTGGAGATAGAACTGTATACTAACTGACATACTTGTATGATTTTATACTACATGCATTAGACAATGGCAAAGAAGTCAGGACAGTTTTCTGTGACATAAGCAAGGCTTTTGACAAGGTTTGGCATAAGGGAATCATAGCGAAATTAGAAACTTATGGTATTAAGGGTAAGTTACTTGACAATAGATTACAGAGAGTAGCTATAGACAATTACAATTCAGATCTAAAGAAAGTCACTGCTGGGCCTACAAGGATTTTACTGTTTTCAGTTTACATAAATGATATCATTGAGGGTATCAGTAGTAACATTCGTCTTTTGGCCGATGATACTTCGGTATATGTTATTGTTGATAATCATGTTGTTACTGCCGCTTCCTTAAATAATGACCTTAACAGCATCTCTCACTGGGCTGAAATATGTCAGGTTAGCTTTAACCCTGGTAAGACTGAAGCTGTTTTATTCACTCGCAGAAATACCGGTAATCCATTTCCAATTCCTAAGCTTAAAATGTATGGAGTAGACATTACTGAAGTCGGTTACCATAAACACCTAGGAGTAACCTTGCAATCAGACTGTAAATGGAACTCCCACATTGGTGAATTATTTAAAAAGGTTGGTCCATTGGTAAATTGTCTACGTAGTTTTAAATATAGATCATCTAGAAAATCATTAGAGCAAATGTACAAGTCATATATATTACCAACGTTCGATTACTGTTCGCACCTTTGGGATAACTGTACTAAAGAACAAGAAAAACTTGTCGAAAATCTACATTTAGACGCACTGCGGACGATTTTTGTTTTAAACAATATTTATTCATTATCAAATGAACGGATTGGTAAACAGGCTATAAGCTTATAAAAATACCTCTCCGAATACAATGCGATGGGAAACATTTTATATACATTCATCATTACAGACAAGAGAACACACCATTAGAGGAGTAAAAGACTTAATGAAAAAGACAGTAGTATAATTAATCAATTAGGTAAAAAATCGTTTTGTTAAGGTAAAATAGTCATGTACAGATTTTACAATATTTTCATTGATTTCGTCAGAATATGAGTAACTTCCACATAGTACACATTGAATATTAAAACCATTTATGTAATAGAAACACTTCGATCGAATTGTATTAAAATTTTGACAAAGAAATAAAAAATGAATGGCATCTTCATAATAATGGCCACAAGTGCAAGTATACGTATTTTGAAGAAAACGGTCAAGTTCATGTGCGTTTAAGTCACTACAGCCAAGTCTTAACTTACAATGAATTATTTGATTAAATCTATTACCAGTGATTCTGAAGACATGATGTACGTTGGATGAGACATTTCGATCAAAGTGTTTCTTGAACATGGCAGCGGAATCTATGTTTCTTATATCATTATCTAACTTATTCCACTCCATCACAGAGGAGGGTAAAATATATTTTGTATATGTTTCCGTACGACATAATGGTACTTGCAGCATATTACTAGATCTAGATCCATATGTGGATACAGAGGATATGTTTATTGGAATTAGATCTGATAAATACTTTGGAGTTTTATTATGGAACATTTTATGAAATACATACATTTGGTGATTTTTACGACGTTCCCTTAATGATGAAAAACCAGTTTCATGGTAGATTTTGGAATAACAAACTCCTCTAACTGATCCACATATGGTTCTTAAAGCATCTAAGTGAAGTTTTTCTAACACTAACTCTTGAGTTTGTGTACAGTTGTTCCAAATACAATCACAATAGTCAAAAAGTGGTAAAACAAATGAACTATACAGGGTTGGGGTTCAGACTTCTTAAACAATTGATCATAGCACTGACTTTAGAAATAGTATCATCTATATGTATATTCCAGTGGCCATCACTTTGTAAAGTCAGCCCCAGATGTTTATGAGTGTCAACAGACTTTATCGGTATATCATTCATTATAAGATCTGGCATTGATGTTACTGTTTTTTTTCTAGAAAAAATGATAGATTCAGTTTTACTCTCCATGTCTGGGCCCATTTAGCTATTATTTCTAAATCATCGTTTAACATATTGGAAGATACTATAGGGTCATCAATTATCACATATAAGGATGTATCATCGGCAAATAATTTAATATTACTCTGTATATCTTCAAAAATATCATTGATATTAACCAAAAAGAGTAAAGGTCCTAGGACAATCCATGAGGGACACCAGCTTCAATTGATTTAACATTTGACTTATACCCCTTTATTACTTTAAACTGTTTTCTATTATTTAGATAACTTTCAAACCATAATAAAAGAGATCCGCGAATTCCACTAGCCCATAACTTATGCAAAAGACCCTTGTGCCAAACCCTATCAAACGCTTTACATATATCGCAGAATACAGCCCGTACTTCCTTGCCACTATCCATCGCCTTAGCTATATAGTCATACAAATGAGTGAGCTGGTATGATGTAGAATCACCAGTCGTGAAACCTGACTGTAATGAAGTAATAGTTCCATTATCTAGAAAAAGATTTGACACATATTTAAAAACACACTTCTCAAATACTTTCGAAAGACAACTAGTAAGTGAAACCGGTCGATCATTAGTATAATCATGAACATTATTTTTCTTATAAATTGGAACAACGGATGAACATTTCCATATATCTGGAAATTTAGAAGAGGACAAAGAAATATCAAACAGGTTACAAAGTGGAATAAACAATTGTTCAGCTAAACATTTTAAGACACGATTGCTAAGATGATCTGGATCAGTTGCTTTAGTGACATCAAGCGACAGTAAAATATCCCTTACTTCAACGCTTTGTAATCTTATATCAGTAAGACAATTTTCCACGTTAATATCAGAAAATACATTAACATCATCAGAAGAACTGTTACCCGCTGCCATACTCACAAAGTAGTCATTAAAAATATTTGCTTTCTCAATATCATCTTCATAAACAACACCATTGTGTTCAATGTGTGGAAATTTTTAGCTTTATCTGTTTTCTTAAGATAATGTTTAACAATCCGCCACCAAGATTTACTACCATGTTCCGTATTGACAACATTATCAAGTTTTTCAACATACAATGACTTACTTTTACGTATCTCTGAGATAAGCTTATTTCGACTTTTTCTAAATTTTCCCCAATCATTAGGCAAGTTACTACGTTTAGCCTTTCTATGAATTCTCTTTTTCTTATAAGTTTTCTTATAAATCCGTTCATCCACGGAGCATTATTTGGACGAATCTCAACAGTTTTATTTGGAATATTTGATTTACATAAGTCTGTTAACGTATTAACAAATTTTGAAGCAATGGCATCAACATCATCATTTTGTGTAAGAAAATCCCAATTAACATCAGCCACATTTTGCCGAAAGGAATATATATATATATATTATCGTAATTATAAATGAATTTTGAATAGGCTTCTTTCATCTGTTTAATAGATTTCAACGACACGCTAACTGCGGACGATTTGCGGGGCAGTTAGAGGAACAAGTCATGATTTAATATATAAGGAAACTAACTCTATGCCCCTAGTATCACAGTTAAGTGACCATAGATTAAGAAACAGTAATAACATTCAAACTATAAGATGTCGTATTGATTTGTATAGCAACTCGTTTTTACCTGATACAATACGACAATGGAATGATTTGCCTGAGAATATGTATGATATTGAAACCATAGGCCAATTCAAAAATGCATTCCAATCATCAAAACCACCCAATTTTAATATATTTGATAAAAACGTTGGTACACGTTTCTGCCAAATTATCCACTCACGCCTCAGACTTGGGTGCAGTAATTTGAAAGGGGTCATGTTTGAACGGCACATTTCAGTTGATCCATTCTCTTCCTGTGGTCACCCCTCTGAGGATACTTTACATTCCTTCTTTACTTGTCCTAATTATTCTAACATCAGACATCGCATGTATTTTTACGAACCTGGATATAGTTTAAATTCTGTCCTAAATGGTAATCCAAACAAAAATGTACTTGTAAATTCTTTCATACTACAACCTGCCCATACTGTTATAATGAAATCGCATAGGTTTGATAAATGATTAATAATGTTAAATACGCAGGTTGCTTGCTTTCCTATCATGCTGCATATTATTTAATATTTGTTTTATTCATGTATCAATGAAATGGAGAGGTATTCAAATAATCCATCACGACTTGTTTACCAATCCTAGTTCAATTTATTTTGAATAAAATATGTTTACACTACATAGAAGAAAGCGAGCTACAAAGACATATTTTATATCATTGGAAAGATCTCGAGGAGATGGACCCAAACAGTTCATGTGCCAGTATGCTCACGTGTTCATAAGCTCACAAATTGGCTCTGAAAATGCATTTCCGCAGAAATTTGATGTGTCACACACACACACACACACACACACACACACACACACACACACACACACACACACACACACACACACACACACACACACACACACACACACACACACACACACACATACTAGCAATTTGTTTAAAATCTTTGGCATCTTGGCCTTACATTGGCATCTTGGCCTTAAAACTCAGTGTCATTTGAGGTTAACTAGCATGTCGTTACAAAGTTATTGCTTAGCAAGTGACTGCAAGTGTTACAACTGACCCCTAGCTCAGGGCAATTGTAACAAGTGGATGGCGCAATTGTTACAAAAAAGGTTCAAATGTAACAACCTGTTTACTTCCCAAATACATGTACAATCAAAATGAAATGTAGAAATATGTCATCTCGATCAATTGAGGTGGAAATAGGTTGGCATTAAACCTTTGTCATCATCGTCATTTCTTGTTTTGGCATGCCCAAAATATAATAAAAACACCCAAACCTTACACCCGAGGGATAATGTTTGCAAAACTGTATCAGCATAACATTGAAAACACAGTAACACAGTGTTACAATTGCCTCCGATTGTTGTAGCCAAGTTTATGCCACGACACACTTTGGGCTTCTCAAATATTTCTACTTCAAAAGATGTCGTAATACCTCAATTTTGCACTTGAAAAGTTTATCTCATACCAAACAATAATTACTGCATTAAGAACGTTTTATTACGTTTTGTGAAAAATTTACTTTCCCATGATTTTCGTCAACTGTATCTCTCCATGTACGAGCAGCTGAAAAACGCCCGGATGTGTACCGCAGGAAAACAAAGGAAGTAACTCTGCTCACCTACACTATGCTTGAGCGAAAACTTTTAGAGTAATCACCCTTGTTACAATTGCACCGTGTTACAATTGACCCCGGTCTCCCCTAGTCTTGCAATGATGGAAATAGCCAAACATTTGGTGTCTGAAAACATGTAATTTCGTATTAAAACACAGAACCTCATTTAAATTGAATAGAGCCCCCGTGATGACCGGAGTAAAATCTAGACTTGCTCCATTTGGGGCGTTTGCATTATAAAAAGGGTTTGGAGGAAGTGAAAAAATACATGGTGCACCGTTCAGGGGATGTGAGACAGACTTGGGTGGAAACTAGGTTATTGTATGTACTAAACGACGCTCTTTATCGATTGTTTAAAGGTCGAGTACGTGCAGCGACACCAATCGGAGGGTCCGAGAACCAATGTAGTATCCCTTCCAAAAACGACACGTTTCCAAATGACGACTCAACACATATTGGGCTCGCATGAACTCTAAATATATAGGCCTTTTAAATAAAAATCGGGTTTTAGACGTTTTCAGAACTTTTGTTACACATCATGTTGGAGATAAAAACTGTTACTCAGGAAAAACAGAAAAATTGCTCTTTTCACACTTATTAACCAATATGCTTAATATGTACTTGGTCATGCGTGTAGTACTAACCTACCTGTATAATAAAGACTTGTTGTCAGCCATTTGAACCTGTACAATAATTTCAACCACAAATTCCGCAACTATATATACACAAAAAACTTAATTTAGCACACCCTGTCTTATTGTAGTGATAGGTTTTCAACACGTTCACATTTTTCTCGTGGTGACCACGATGGAACAACATGAGTTTTTCTGACCCGTATGATCCGTTGAATCATTAAACACGAAAAAATAATTGGAATAGAGGTCAATACCGAGTGTTACCTCCATGTGACTGTATGGCAGCCAGCACTCTGCTCCTCATACCCCCTGTCAGCCTCCTGATCCCCTGAAGGGCTCGTCTACGCTTGCAGCTTCCAATTGGGCCAGGGGATGCTTAACTAAGTTCTTTGCGTATAGTTTGACATTACAAGAGGGTTAAAACAGTACCCTTAACCCACCGTTACACGATTCACTGCATAACGTCCGTATCTTTATAATTCCCTTTCGGTTTTCAAACTCTTTGACATATCTACAAGTTCGCTGCCAGTATTTACGGGCAAATAGCCCAGCAATTGGTACACTTCTTTACAGTTACCGTCTATGATACGAGCCCTATTGAAATCAAGCTCTTTTCGCCATTGCAGAGTCATAATGGTTGAATTTGACTTGCATGTTGTACAGTGTTTGTCTTCTGAGCTGTTCGTCCTCGACTGGAGAAATCGTTCCGTCTCACTTGTAAATGTCAGACCCACAAATGAAAACAAATCCTTCACGTTTTGTACAGGGTGGACTACTAGATCCTCATACAGGAGAAGTTTTGTTCTGTTAGGGTGAGATTTCAACAGCCTCTCTGTAGCCTGGAGGTCGCTATGTACCCTCAAACAGTGCTCTTTGGAGTAGGAATGAAGGTTGCTCCATTTATCTCGTCCTAATGATATCTGAGACTTGATTGTTGGCCGTGGGTCTCTTATCAAGTGTATGACTTTCAAGGATGGGTTTGATTTCATCATCGTCTCTACTGCTCCCATGGGGAACCGTATCGTTTTGATAACCGATAAGTCCGACTCCATGCATTGCTTTTGAAGAATCGGTAAGCAGCCTAAGATTTTCAACACTCCAGGATTTGTCTTTAAACACATTTGGTAAGGTTTTGTATCATTACTGCTTCCTAAATGAAACTGACTAAGTGTTGCAACGTCTATTTTAGTTGGATGACACCTCAAAAACCCGTCGGCAATGTCCTTGGCTGCTCTAGCAAAATCTTCTGCACTTTTTATCATCCTGGAATAAAATGATATACAGATGAAATATCATTATATACCAATGTATACTTGTTTTAATTTTCTTTGTTTATCGTTGAATGCAGGGGTTAAGCTATAAGACAGCAGCATGTAAATAATCGGCACCTCATATATATTGTGAGCAACGACTGAAGCTGTTCAGGGGTGATGACAGGCAACCTTCTAGTCACCAAGTCTGACAACGCGATCCTTTAAGCAACGGATTTGGGGATCAAATCTTTTACGCAATTACCACTGGAGGTTTTAGACTTGGCCTATATTCCAACTGAGGAGACCGCCTCCGTGATGTAGTGGTTAGAGCGTCCGACGGGAGAGCGGAAGGTAGCGGGCTTGATCCCCGGCCACGTCAGACGTTAAAATATGGTACTTGTTAGTCCCTGCCTGGCGCTCGGCACAACATCGACTCATCGGCTGGGAGTGTCTCTGAGTGGGGTATTTATGCTTAACTGCGGCATGGTATCTCAGTGAACTAGCACTATATAACCAGCTTAAGTCTGGGCTAGTACAAGCAGCCACACATACACACGCATGCACGTCGTCATATGAGCGCAATATTCTAATTAACTCCATTTCACCTCACATGCAACTGAGGACTGTCGTATACTAGGTTCGCTAAACCGAATTCGAGTTATCAACTCGTGAATCGCTGCAATTATTATAAACCTTTGGTTGGCATTGTATTCATGAAAAACCATTACAAGGAAATAAAGGTTGGTACTTTGTATTTAGATCAGCAAAACATAAGATAATTTCAGCTCCATGCTTTACAAAGTACCAACAATACTAAATATGTCGAAGATACTGTTGAACTATCATACAAATTTGCGTTTATTGACATTCTAGCAGAAACAACAATTCAGCTGATGTCAGAAGGAGATATGTTTTGATAAGTGTCAGTATTGCACTGACATGCCGTGAAACCCTTAAAGCTGATGGATAATAATATGACATCCTAATGGAAGGTTTACAATTGACATTATGGTGTTCCATTTTTTTCTGTTTACAATGTGAAATATTATTATTTATTTATTTTACACCGGCAATCATTGATACATTGTAAAAGATATGACACTCATCAGAAAGGCGTTTTGGTATCTTACCACCAAATATACACACAGTCATGTCATCATAACACAAGCAACATTACCTTCATATCAATTCGTATTTATTGTTCTTAATAGTCAAAGTGTATTCCCAGTTGACATGTTAGTCAATGTCAACATTGTCAAGATCACGGGAACATGTTTCATGTCCACATCCACATGCCGAAGCACACAACAGGTTCAACCTCTTGCAGCTACTCCTTCCTGTACATTGGCGTTTATATGCACAGATATGTTGAAGAAAGTCCACGGAAACGATTTAGTCTTAACTTATTTGCAACCTTATCACAGGGGAACAGAGGAATATTTGATGAAGATCTATTACGAAAGAAACGTACTGCTTTAAATACAAAACATTAAGTGCCTAGTTTTGTGGACAACTCAAAAGAAATTCCTAGACAATATTCATATAAACATCTTGCTTCTACTATAACGTTCATAAAAATATGCATACCTTGGTTTTAGTAATATGTAATGATATACACAAAATAGTTACACATAGCATGGTCATGACACTATGAGCATCGATCTTCACAAGTGTGATACGAAGTCATGCATCAAACAAGTAAGTGAGAACGACCACCCGATCACATTAGTTCGCTCTTACAACATTGGTTGCTGAAGATCAATTTTGACCCAATTAACATATTTGTGAACCTGCCAGAATGGTTAATGAATAAATGCATAGTCAGTCTCATGATATCTATTGTAGATCATTCCAAATGATATTACTGACAACAGAATGTATGTCGCCAATATCTTTTCTGGTCTCTGCATAAGTCGTACCTCAGAGAGCCAATTGTCAAGCTGCATTTAATTAATATCAGCTGTTCCGTACACGCACAGAAGATGGTATATACGTTGACAGACGCTTTAGAATTATATTTTGCGCGGGAAACCTTGAATCGTCTATACATATTGACAGTAGTGAGTGACTTCGTCTAAATGGATACTAAAAGACTAACTGTCGTTCCTTTCCCGATTTCCATATGTCACATGACTACGTTGTCCTTCAAGCAGAGAGTGAATGAACTGACAATAGTTATCGTATCATGGTATTGGCTCAGGTCAATCACTGTCTTCATCAGCTGACGCACGTCGACAGTACAACGTCAGCTCTAACATATTGACAGACCTCACCCAGATGACCATTACCAAGTCGGCTGTAGTCAACTGCATTGTTCCAACAGCTGTGATCAGCAGAGTGTGTTTCAAATGCTTGCCCAGATCTATATATTTAGTTTCCGAATGTTAATATTACTAGGATTAAGGTTTTTAAATGCGTTTCCCTCCTTGTAAGAACCACATTCGCTATGTATCGCTGGGACCTTACACATGCCAGAAGTCTGTCTCATACTCCAAACTTTCGGCCCAGCCCCTTCTGTAATGCAATAGTCCAAAATGAAGCCAGTCTAGTTCTGAGTCTCCGAACTCACTGGGGCTAATTCAGTATATACGGAGTTATATATTGCTATCAACATTTCCTATTTTCAGAGGCTTCCACTTGGTATAACGTGCCAGGATCCTGTAATTATGGACCCAAACATGCTCCGGGTATGCTTATTGTTTTTTCAAGACCATATCTATGTTTCTGAATTTCTCCCACATTAAACAAACTGCTGTTAGATCCAAAATTAAACTTGCACGCTGTGTAGCCTTTTTATGGCATGGGGTTTTGTGCGTGCGTTAGTTTATTATTTTTGTTGCATTTGTATGGGCTGGGACTATTCAAGATGAAATCCACCTCAGCAGGATTAATTGATTATTGTCTCACTAACACAGTGAGTAGCGAATGAAGACACCTACTTTTTGTTTGTACCATAAGCTCCCGGTTTTTCCTGGTTACGTCAGTGTGTGTGTGTGTGTGTGTGTGTGTGTGTGTGTGTGTGTGTGTGTGTGTGTGTGTGTGTGTGTGTGTGTGTGTGTGTGTGTGTGTGTGTGTGTGTGTGTGTGTGTGTGTGTGTGTGTGTGTGTGTGTGTGTGTGTGTCCTAATTGGTGAAATGCCACACTGATCAACATGTGGATGCTTGATGGGCATTTAGAAGCTGGAAGGTAACATAACAATGTATGGTATGGATTTACAACTTCTTTATTATTTACAACACAACAGCCTAGAAACGTTGTGTATTTATGATAATGAATATTTGCTTGATATTGTATGGAATATGGAAAGGTTAATCCAAGTACATTGTATGTACAATTGCTTGTGCGATCTCTTAATCAGGATGATTATTTTCTTCAATTATCCATGGGGTAGTGGAGATAGAGGAAAGATGGAAGGTATATGTTCAAGGCGTTAATGCGTTGATACGTCCAGACATCCAGATAACCTGCAGCGTTGCTTGAAATACTAAATCAATACATTTGAATAAAAGCTTACCTAAAAGAACTTTGAAAAGTAAAACAACACTGTGTGAAAGTACCTGTGAGTAATGCAGCTTTAAGCAGGTTTCGATCACAAGTATTTTTACAGATGTTTTGTTTTTGATTGAATGCATGAATCATGAATCAAGAACAGAGCTGTATAATGCATGCATGCGAAACATGTTGCAAACTGTAATGTTGTTGTCAGTGAACTCCCAATAAACCAGGAGAGAGTAATAACATATTGCATAGCCTAAACAACTATCAAACCTCAATGTGAATACCACAATGTGAACCCAGATTTTCTGTGACCATTTTGTTTTAGTACTGGTAACATGAGCATATATAATGTGTTCAAATATATACCCTTGATATCCGGAATGATGCACAAGGTTTTAAGCCATGAAAACATTTGAAAACTTGCAAATTTACAAATGTTTTCCCACCTAAGGAAATATTCATGTTTCGAACCAAGTAAACTTAGAAAAGAGTCGGAAATTACATCACCTACATTACAATCAAAAGGAATGTATTGGGAATACTGTGTATTTCAGAGGTATATGACGGGTGTGTGTATTTGGTGGTAAGATACCATAAAGCCTTTCTGATCAGTGTGTCGTATGTTTTGCTGGTGTAAAATAAATAAATAAAACCAAAGTCGTAATATTTCACATTGTAAACAGAAAAAATGGAACACCATAATGTCACTTTTAAACCTTTCATTAGAATGTCATACTACTATCCATCAACTTTAAGGGTTTCACAGCATGTCATTGCAGCTGGAGCGTGAAGTGACACATATATAAACAATATTGACACTTATCAAAACATATCTCCTTCTGACATCAGTTGAATTGTTGTGTTTCATGCATGCAGTGCCAACCAAAGATATGTATGATGTTCAAATGATATAGCTGAATTATAAAACCATAATTTTGGTAAAATTACCTTAAATTTGTAAAATTGATAAAGTTGCAAATAAGTTAAGACTAAATGGTTTCCGTTGAACTACTTCAGCTTCATAACTGTGCATGTAAAAGTCAATGTACAGGAAGGTGTCAAAGAGGTTGAACCTGTTGTGTACTTCGGCATGTGGATGTGGACTTGAAACATGTTCCCGTGATCTTGACATTGTTGACATTGGCTACCATGTCAACTAGGAATACACTATGACTGTTTTGAACAATAGACACGAATTGATATGAAGGAAATGTTGCTTGAGTTATGATGACATGGCTGACTCATCATTCTTTGATGAGCAAAGAAAGACATCTGGAATAATAGAATTTTACATTTAAGAGCTTTCTGTTATGTTGTGTGATTTTAGAGATACTCCGACAGTATCATCGACATGTTTGGTATCGTTGACTATGTAAAGCATGGAGCTGTTACTGTTGAACAGACATTATATAATAGTTTGCTGATCTAGATACAAAGTACCAACTTTTGTTTCCTTGTAATGGTTTTTTCATGAATACAGTGCAAACCAAAGGTATATATGATCTTCAAAT